TTTTTTTTTTTTTTTTTTTTTTTTTTTTATTGCGACTCGACAAAATGACTGCACCGCGCCTGATGGAAAGTGCGAATACAGTCCAGAGATGAGAGTAACGGATGGAAAACACAAATATCTTCACTCCGTCACTATCATTTTGCCGGTCTGGCCAAATGCACTGGATGTACACCAACTGATCCCTGAACGCGATTCGCAAAAGCGTTTCACTGTGGAGGGTTTTCCGCCGTGTGTACTGTGGTCGCTATCCAGTCGGCACAGAGCCTACCACAATGCTAAGCAGATGGACACTTGTGACGCCCTCGGTCGCCTCTTACGACCCCCACGGGCATGTTGTAACCTGGGTTCCCTACCTTTCCCTAATAAGGGTGAAAATAAAAGAAGGTAGGGCGGTTAACTGATTTAATTAAAAAGAGAAATGAATCCCAGGGTACATAAAAAATTTATGAATACGTGGGCTCCGGCCTAAAGGTACGGATCGTTAGCACTCCCGGGGTTATGCACTCCCCTGGGTAAAGGCCGGCTGGAATGTAGATAGCCGGCGCCTTGTCGTGTCGGAGACGGAAGATGTTGAAGGAGGACTCCGACGGGAAGTGAACCCGGAACTGCGGCTGCCAGGCACGACGCGCGTCGCTTGCAGTTGGTGTATGCCACGTAGTGGCCGAGGGTTTTAAACCCTAACGGAGTTCCTGTAACATGTTACAGTGCGGGTATACTGCGCTGCTGTGCACGCGCCCGTTGCGATTCCGTCCCGGCAGCTTAAGGAATGCTTTACCCAATGAGGGAACGCTTACGTATTAATCCTGCTGCCGGGAGAAATCACAACGGAATGTAAAACTGAAAAATAAAAAAGGTTAAGTACTTGTGGGTAGGCAGAAGGCACCCACAAGCAAGAACAAAGCTAGATAATACGAAATAAATACAATGTGAAATGACACGTTGACTAAAAGGAAAATTAAAAAGGTCAAGTCACGTAAAACCGCGTGGCATCGCATGTGCCTTCGTTAATTACGCGGATTCATCAAAATTAAATAACTGGCTGCTGGATTGTTGCTGCCAGCCGTAAGGGAACGTATTTGTTTGACCTAATGATGTACAGGAACCGCGTAATTAACGAATGCACATTCCGCGACCGCCATTTTACAAAAATAGCGAATTACGAAAATAAGTGGTGTGGTATTGGAATACTCACCCGAATACGGGAACTTCTTATACTCACAAGTTGTTAATATCAAAAGCAATTGTCGTAGTTGCCGAAATGCGGATTTATATTTGCAATTTAAATATTTAGGAGCGCGCGTAGGCGATGCCGGCTCGTGAGAAATGTGGCGCGGACGCCGTCGCAACTCCTTTTATATGCGAGCCGCAGAGAATCCACGCGTTCGCATTAGCGCTCGTCTAACCGATTACGTAAAAAAAGAGGTATGTAACGTTTTTTCGTTACAATGTATGGGGAGGCGACAATGTATTCTTAAGCCGTCGCCCCACGGCTAAACGTCTTTACTTACATCTTTATCTAACACGTAGTCTTCGATTTTGTAATATGATTTTTCGATCAAAATATTTTTAATGTAGTTTTTAAACTTAGGAAATGATAAACTTAATATATGCCCCGGAATCTTATTGTAAAAACGTTCCCCATAAAAGAGTTGTTTACCTTGGTTAAACGAAATTGTGGTACCATGAGTTTGGACTTAGCTCTAAGGTTAATATTATGGATATCTTCTTTCCTATTGAAATTATGTATATTTTTAAGGGCATATAAAATATTTGAGAAAATGTACTGTGATGCCACAGTCATGATACCAGTCTCCTTAAACTTTTCTCTGAGAGAAACTCGAGAGCCTAGATGGTACACAGAACGAATCGCTCGTTTTTGCAATACAAATATGGTTTGAATATCTGCCGCTTTACCCCACATGAGAATCCCGTAGGACATTATACTATGGAAGTAACTAAAGTAAACTAGTCTAGCAGTACTAACATCGGTAAGCTCACGTATTCTGCGGACTGCGTATGCAGCGGAGCTTAATCTGCTGGCCAGGGAAGATATATGTGGTCTCTCGTCTGTCGTCGTAACGTGAAAAAAGTCATGAACGACAGTTAATCGTGTTGTACGTGTGTGATATGTGAACAACTTCATTTAAATGTAGAAGCCATGACACGTGAAACTGCACGACTATCGGTCATCACGATATAATAGGAACACGCCCTTACAGTCGATGAACCGAGTTAACTTCATTTGGAAGAACCCGTGGTGAGACGAACATTCAATATAACTGAATTTTGCTTTATTTACATCTACGTACAAAATCGCCCTTCGTCATTTCTCGACACATTACTTTATGAATTTCTACAAATTTGACTTCGCAATTTATCTGATTAATGAAAATGTATGAATGAATTTCTTTATTACACATTAAAATTATAATGATTAAGGTAATGCACAAATGGCAATCTTATTGCTAAGTAGCAACATCTTCAAGGCTACTTTAGAATAGAAATTTTAAAGTTTAGAGGTTGCAATCTACGAATATTTTTACATCTCCGTGAAAACAATAGCTTACTATATTTTAACATATTTTAATATGTAAACTTTCTTAATGATTATTTACTTTCTGTAAACTATAAATTTACATATCGAGTTCTAAGGTTTTCTCGATTGTTACACATAGAAAAAGAAACTATTTTTTCGTATCTAAACAGCGTACATTTGGTTTTTCAAACAAATCGCCGTTTGGGACGCTTTACAGGTCCCTTGGTCAAGTCTAACTGAGTTGGTGAAGTCATGAACCAGTTATGTCTAAAATTAATGCAAACCTCATCAGCCTATTTCTCACTATACTTACACAAATTATTAACTAAATACCATATTTTTAAATATTCCAAACATTCCAATTTAGGCTATATAACATGTTTTACAAATTATTTTATTGTAACTATACGAAATTATATTTATTTTTAATATAATTAGAATAGATATTAATTAGAACTGCAGACGTATGTCTGCTTGGTATTTTTTTATTATTTAGATCTGGAAAAATAGTTTCATATCCTATATAAATTTAAACACTTGTTTATTTTTCTCAACAATAAAGCTTTACTTATTTTTAATCTTTGTCCCCAGGATGTCCCTGATCGGGTCGTACGACGAGACTGACTCGTTCGTCGACTACCAGACTCGCATGGTCGGTGCTGCGAAGGAGATTGCTCGCCTCGCCACGGACATGGTGAGTGCACATACCACAGAACACGTGATGGCAATCCAGCATGGTCACCGTTCGGCCACAGAGGCAGTTAAATATTGTATATCGAATGTGGCTAAAGTATATATTATATTACGCCTTCGATCTATTAGAAAGTTGGGAATACTCCATTCTTATGTCATTGACCATCAATTCACAAGAAGCGTTTACAATGCATTTGCTGGTGAAAGATGTTATTTCATAAACAATTACGATTACAGACGGCGAAGGCAGCTACAGACTCGAGCAAACTGGTCCAGCTCGGCAATGAGATGTGCCAGAAATACGAACAATTGGCGCAGGACAGTGTCGGCGCCTCCGCCACCACGCCCAACGTAGACGTCGCTAATAGGTGAATAACTGTTGATTCAATCATTTAACTTTAGGATATACTTCTTAAACAGAATATACTTGTAGAACAGAACTTATGAACAAGAAAGAATAAAAAAATAATACAAAGAGTGTTAGCCAGGTACAGTATCCTACTCGTAAATAAACTGAAAGGAATATAATTCCTCATTATGGAAATTCTCAAAAGTCATTGACAATATTACAGAGTTTAGAATAAAATCAATGCTATATAAATATAAGCATGCTAAAAGTCGTGATGCGTTTATCTACTATGATATTAGCGACAAGATTTCATATGGTTTCTCTCTTTCCAGGATTCGCTTATGCGTAGTAGAGCTGGGAGAGGGCGTGTCGGAACTGATAAAGTCGGGAGGCCAGTGCAGGCTGGCCGCCAACCCACAGAACCAGCGCGCCGTCGCCGACAACGCCAAGCAGGTGAACGAGAAGGTACGTATGAGCGCCTGCTGCCGCCGGCCGGACGGGCGAGGCGGGGAGGCGGCCGCTAACCGTCGGGTGCCCGTTGCCCGTGCAGGTGGTGAGCGTGCTCAGCGCGCTGCAAGCGGGGTCGCGCGGCACGCAGGCCTGCATCGACGCAGCCGCCACCATCGGCGCCATCATCGGCGACCTCGACACCACCATCCTCTTCGCCAGCGCAGGTACGACAGCACACGCATTGAATGTTTTACGGTGCACGTAACCGTCTCGTGAAACCGATAAATTCTCTCGAAAGTCCTACAGCAAAACAGACCTTAATTCGTGCTTCCGCTACCAGGTACTCTCCAATCGGACAAAGAGAACGACACGTTCTCCGACCACCGCGAGAACATCCTGAAAACGGCGAAGACGCTCGTCGAGGACACTAAGACGCTGGTGGGGGGAGCTGCCGGAACGCAGGAACAGCTGGCCACGGCCGCGCAGAGCGCCGTCAGCACTATCGGTGAGTGGAAGTCGGTAGAAGGCGCGGAGGGTTCCTCGCTCGCGTGATAGTGACGGAGGTGGTTGTGGCAGTGCAACTGTGCGAGGTGGTGAAGCTGGGCGCCATGTCGCTGGGCGCCGGCAGCCCCGAGTCGCAGGTGCTGCTGCTGCACGCGGCGCGCGACGTGGCCGCGGCGCTGCGCGACCTGGCCGCCGCCACCACGGCCGCCAGCGGCAAGCAAGTGGCCCATCCCGACATGCAGCGCCTCAAGCACGCCGCCAAGGTTAGTCGCCTATCAGTTCCCTGTCCGTTACGAGGACCGTGTCAAAAGCGTTACTGTGACGTGATTTACTTTCTATTCGTTTCGACACCAAAATAATGTACATTTTATCGATTATCCGTTAAAATATGTGCAATTCTATCATTTTAAACACTGTATTATATTAAAATTGTTTATTTTAAAAGTTGGGGCAGTGTACGCTTAGTTATGTGAATTGTTTTCTTGTTTTGCTAAACAAAAAATACGGGGACGATCAAAGTTCCATGGATACTATATCACCATGCTACTCTTATTTACTATCTATTCTCTAAACTATCTTATGCCCGACTTACATTATCTTCGTTTTTAGAAGCGATATTAACTGTCGTCTCAATGACTAGTGCCACTAAAATTTAATAGAAATATTACTCGCTTTTCAAATTGTACTAAAGCACTCTACTATAGTGTAAACCGGGCATGACCCAATTGGCTCGCTGCGGCTGCCGGACCTTCACCGTATTGAAAGCTTTGTGACTTGTTACAATACAATTTGATAGAATTTTTACTAAACAGTGCCCAGTAAAGATTCGCTTAATTTGTTTATTTTGTTCGCTGCGCTCACTCAACGCTGCGATCCTTTTCGGTCGGTGCGAAATACCACCGTACGGAGCCAATAAAAATAGATCCATGCGATTTTGATCTATTTATGTGTATTTGTTTGTTCAAAGAGAATTATTATATTGATATATCTCACAGTCGTGTCAATATTGGACTATATCCCTAATCGAATATATTTCGTAGCGCATGGCGGATGCCACCAAGCGATGGAGCCTCCCCGTCCGACCCACCACCCAACAGAGGCCGAAACGTCTCTCAATGCAGCTTAAAAACGAGTCTTACGACTCTGAGACTGATATCTTCCAATCTGACCAGGAGGAGGAACTACTCAAGTTGTTAGACTATTCCAGCCAAGATGATGACATATCTCCGTCAGTGTTTCACGATAATTGCGAAGAAGTTATTGCTTATATTGAAAATCTAATGCACAGCCCTGTTAAGAGTAGAAAGAATGACGATTTGAATGAAAGATACAACCTGGCTGCTAGAAACAGTCTATTGGATATGGACTGGAGGGTACTTAAATACGGAGAGAACATATTTCTTGGAGAAATAATGAAGTTAGTTGATTTGCTCATCGATGTTTATGACAAAAACGAGAAAAGTAGGAAAAGAGATCTGTTGCAAAGATTGAAAGCAAATTCAGACTTGGATAATGAAATGAAGAGGCTGTCACAAGTCATTGAAGACCTTGATGAAATTGAACCTCATGAGACTAACAAAGAAGTCGTCACAACTAATAATACAATAAACACTACTATACCTGCCAAAAGACCTACTTCGAATGATATAAGAGCTAAATTAGAAGATAAAAAGCACAAATTGAAAAGTCCCATATTCAAAATCAAAAAAGTGAAACCTGTGAACTTGATAATTAATATAGATATGGCTAAATCTCTTGAAATGAAGTCTGTAGAACCCCTTAAAGAAGAGAAACAAAAAGGTGAAAGTACAGAAGTAGTAATACAACCAGATGTAATAGTTAAAGATGTCAAAACTGAATTTTGGCAAATGTTCAAAGATGATTCTGAATGGTGGCAAGCATTAGCCAAAAGAAATTTAAAGAAAATGGAAGAAACAAGAAGAGAACTTGAAAGGTTTAGTGGTCATGAACTAGTTTTAGAAGAATTCCACATTGAAATTAATAAATATGAAAACGAAAAGCAAAGATTACAGTCGTTTATCGATGATGTCGATAGATCGAAAGCTGTAAATGTAGATTTGGAATACGATAAAAAGTATGAAGATATGGTTTTGAAATTAATAGCATTTGCAAAAACAGACTTTATTTATAAAGGTTTTGATCCTCTTATTGAACAATTAAAAGCCTTGTCTAACATACAAATTGAAGGACGAAAGAAAAAGGTTGTTAACATTCAAGATATTATCAATATTTATACTCAAATTGATATAACGAAGTATTCTTATGAGGAATTGTGCTTGTTGGAGAAGTATTATAAAGAAATTATCAGGAAATACAAAAAAGATACCCATGTTAGGATTCAGGACAAAGAAAACATTGCTCCTAAAGATAGATATCCAAGTCTGACTAGAGATGATACACAATCCGCCCCACCATCCTATCATAGAAGCGTAATATTAAACGTAAATTCCACTGAAAATTTGACTAAAAACATCAATAGATACTCGACTACATCTCTAACCAACGGAGAAACAAAACAATCGAAAAGTAACAATAGGAATTCACAAGTCGAAATTTTCGACCTAACTCGCACATATCCAATAGAATACTACGCGAACAACTGGTGGACGATTTACGAAGACATTTTAAAAAGTCGCGAACAACAATTCGGTACCATTGACAACTGGTGGCATTTCTACGAAACTATCTTGAATAAAGAAGATACCAATGATGAAGAATTGAAAAGACTGAAAGCTGTCGTGCAATATAGAAATAGTCTACGAAAACCGAGAACAAATAGCAGATTGGAAGAACAGCTAAAAATGTTAGATGAAGTAAAAAATTCACATTTCAAGGAGACAGAGGACGTGAAGACGGCGGATAGAGAATCGGTCAGAGTGCTAGTATTTATCATAGTGAAATTAACAGCACTTCGCCATAGCACGGCATGGTGTTACATCGGTGTATGGATTCATCGATCATTTGGATGTCGTTTCTATTTTCTAATTTTTATATCTTTTCGGGCGGTTTGGTGTGTAAAGCACTCATGATTATTTTTAATACATAAAGGAACGAATTTGTCTGTTTGGAGTCTGCTCTATGTTCCGGGTGGTGTGCTCTGGTCTACCATGATGACTGGTTCAAACATTTGTTGTGAGTGTCGGGCACAATTAGTATTTTACTTGTGTTATATTTTGACCAAAAGATTTTTGCAAAAGCCTTTGATTAGCTGGATAACATTAAACTTTGGTTTTAATATAATTTCTTTGTAATTTTTTTACAATAGCTTATTTACCAATAAACTAAAGAAAACGAACTTTATGGTTCCATACGGGCACATTAAAAAAATACAAATTGATATATTTTAATGTCAAGGAGTACCACATGGAGGCGTATAAGAACTCAAGTTTCATTTATTATATATGTTGTTGCTTTTGTTTTAAAATGGAACACGGCCTTTGTTGATATAAATAAGACGCAAGGTGCTGTACACACTATCCGCATCACCCTCTCTCCTTCCAGGCTTGTCATCATAGAAATGTGTTTAGTATGTGTTGTTAGTGCAAGTGCTGTCGAGTGTGGCATGACCTTGTGACCACAGCTGTTGGTACAGAATGGCTTTACAACTTTGTCAATGCATGGTGTATGTACCTTACGTGTTAGATAATTAAATAGAATAGTTCTTGAAAACAAAACATACAAGGTACGAGGTACCTTGCTTAACAACATGACATAAAAAACATGAAATTAGATCTCTGCAATATCTAAAAGTATAGGTAGCGTTTTCATCTTTAAAGCTCAGTGTTAGACGAGATATTCCCCATCCTTTGAGACATAAGTTCTGCCGTAAAAACATCTGTACCAACAGTTTAAAACTAAACACGTTTCATCATAAGGGTGGCGCCGTCATTCGCGCCTCGCGGCCACATCAGACCACAAGCTTTCGCGCACAGCTTTGAGTCCAATATTGACAACTGCTTTACATTTAGGGTGCTTTCAGTGAGATTCACGTTGAACGTGGTTATTATAAATGCGGAAACTGATGCCAGTACACTTGTGCTTTTAGTTTGATAAATTACTTTTGGACCATGAAATTCAGCAGCGTGAGTTATTTTCTAAAGCAAGTTTCAAATTACCAGAAGAAGAAATTAATTGTTTAGATAGCGATTGTCCAAATCTAATTCATCGGCCATTACAAAAAGACGCTCTGTCTAGATCATGATGCCAAATGCAAGATATCGAACACAAAATCATAAATAAGATTTTTTTACTGAAAGCGCCCCTTTGAAGATTTTGGTGTTGAAAGCTTCTGGGTTTAGCAATGGCATGGCGCTTGGGTTATAAGACGTCCGCTGTTTAAAGTCAAAACCATTGTGCACGTCGCTACGAGCTCACTCTTTCTTGGTTTAAAATATGTAAGTCCTTCAAAGACCCACTCTAATTGACATGTCACAGGAGCCTTGTTCTGATTTCTAAAGGTAGAACTATAAACAATGTTGAACTGGATACAGCGTACGTCTTCTGTTTGTATGACGCTCCGTCGCTACCCTAAGCTTTGTACGCTGTCAACAACTTCTGTCAAATTTTAAAACTGTCAAGGTATACTTTTGAATTGTGAAGTTGGTGGCAGTTAAAATAATTTTTGACGTTCACAAGATTTATACAAACAATTCGATGTTAGAACGTGGTTAACCTTAGATTTAGGCAAACCCCATTGGCAAATTGGCACGCACGGACCTGGGTCACAAAATTTACGAAATTCGACTTCACATTTAATTTCTGGGTCCATTTTCATTAATATAATTTTGCGCTTTGACAATCTTTGGTAATGAGTTATAAAAAAGTAATTAACGTTATAATTAAAAACAACTGTCATATGTAGATAGATGGACGGACAGACGGACAATCACCAAAGTCTTTCCGTTAGGGTGCCTTATTTACCTATTATGTACAGAATAAAGAACGGTGCTATATTCTATCCATTGGCACTAATGTGAGGCCACGGAAACTACCAGGTAATCATGTTCAATCTCTCAGTTACCAAAGATTGTCAACCTCCCTCTATCAACATCGCTACAACAAACGGCGTCTTTACAGGTGATGGTGACAAACGTGACGTCATTGCTGAAGACCGTGAAGGCTGTGGAGGATGAACACACTCGAGGCATCAGAGCGCTCGAAAGCACCATCGAGGCTATTTCACAAGAGATTGAGGTACGAGAATTAATTTAAATTTAAAAATTGATCATGCCTGGAGGAATGAATCAAACCTGCTGGAATGAATCAAAGTAAATTTAAAAAAAATTGTGTAACCATGCAATAGAAAGAAGGTGATAAAAGTCAATGATACGTTTTGTAACATAAAACCGGTACGCGTATGGCTCTATAATTTCATCTGATGTTAAGCTGCAAAGGTACGAGTTAGTCTAAGTAGTGCGTATTCACTTTAGTCTTAAACAGTTCCAAGCAAGCAAACAAAGTGTTTCGTGTAAATGTCTATCTAAATGAATATTTAGTCGGCTGAAGTAGGAACAGTAGGGGTAGAGGAGAGAAACGCAGGAGATTGATCGTATTATTATTTTACTCCCACCACGGAGAACTAATTGCTTCTTTTCTCTTATTCTGATATTTGTTCTGATTGTATGCGGAATAACGTAACGCACCACATACAAATAGCACCGTTGTCAATATTTTGAAAACACGATAGACAAATATCCAAATGAAACGTGTTAAATAATGTTCAATAGTAAGTTACAATGTTGTAAATGATCGGACAGCTAATTTAGTTTTTAGCGCGTTTTAGGAAATACACAAAAACGGTTCAACGCCATCTAGCGACATCTCACTACTAAACTACTTTTTTTTTTCGCAATGTAGCTACTCCATATCTTAAGACGATATTCACAAACTAATAATCTCCCAGGTCCTAATGTCACCAACACCGCCGAAATCCACCGCCACCCCCGAAGAACTCGTCCGATGTACTCGTCAAATGACGGTGGCCACCGCTCGCGCCGTGGCCGCGGGCAACTCCAGCAAGCAAGACCAGCTGACCGCCGCGGCCAACCTCGGCAGGAAGACGGTCGCCGACCTGCTGCACGCCGCTAAGGTAGGGCCTCGAGAGGACTGCCGCGGCGCGGGAATCGGTGTTAATCGGTGCTCCTCGTGTAGGCTGCGGCGCACGCGGCGGAGTCCCCGGAGCTGCGCACGCGCACGCTGGAGGCGGGCCGCGAGGCCGCGAGCGCCTTCCGCGCGCTGCTGCAGGCCGTGCTGGGCGCCTGCGCCGGCGACGCCGCCGCGCGCCAGCTGTTCCCCGAGCTGTCGCGGCGCGTGGCGCACACCGTGGCCGACATCATCGCCGCCGCCGAGCTGCTCAAAGGTCCCGCTCGACCCTCTCCGCGTATGTCCGTTCGACCTGGCTCGATGCCGTTTTATGCAATGCTGTGCGATCGCAGGCTCCGACTGGGTGGACCCGGACGACCCCACGGTGATCGCGGAGAACGAGCTGCTGGGCGCTGCCGCCTCCATCGACGCGGCCGCCAAGAAGCTCGACTCGCTCAGGCCCAGGAAGAGCGTCCAAGTGCAGGTCGGTCGCTTAGCTCTTTTCTCGTCGCTTTTTGTGGAATCTGTCGCGAAAGAAGAAGCGAGAAGTCTCAAGATCGAAGCGGACGTTCTCAAAACGAAGCACGAAGCCCGTATGCCGCGCGTCGGTAAGATATGTTTGATATTCTTGGTTGTTGCTCGTCACCCAGGAATCAAACATATTACATACCGACCGCGGAGATTGCCACGCTCGAGGTCGGAAAAGAAGAAAGAAGAAAATTTAAGGAAAAGA